ACAACTATGGTAGCCATACTTCACTCTCATAACGTAAGCAGCTCAAATCTCCACTACGAGTAGAGAGAATGATCGTAGAGGAAGATTAAGAACGCCGTCAACTATGGTGATTGTGAGGAACTTGAAAAGAATTGCTGCGAATGAGAGGGAATAATACTGCATGATGGAACATAGCAACGCTGCAACCAGCTATGTGCTAATTTGTTAAACACCGTGAGACAGGCAATCGACTCGTAGCGATCCCTGAGTACTCTGAGTCAGCTTGTGCCAGATGCGCGAGTACACAGACATCAGCGAACACACACTCTAGAGCTATCTGAGCGAGGAGCTGAAGTAAGTATTATCTTGTCGGACGCCAGAGAACACACGAAGATTATGACAAATGCTAAAAGTCGTTGTGCAATGCGAGACATCACTTGGACTAAGCATAGGCTGCGTCCTGCGAGTCGTCACGAGTATAGGTACGCTTCAGGCTTCGGACACGAGCAAGTGTAGCCACTCGCACAAAACATTCACACATTCATCATTGAAGAATTCTGGCTGGAATCGTATGCGCAGATTAAGTGGACCTCAGCTCCTCGCAGAGATCTCATATCATCGACCAAGCACAGCACACGTCGAACTGCTTGGCATTCGAGACGAATTGAGGCATAGAACGTGTATGGACGATGAAGACACCATAGACCGAGTACCACACTAACTACTACAGCCCTCCGACTCAGACGACGAGCCAGATAATGACTGCTGCATCAAGATGGTGTCCAGCAGATGCTCGATTAGCGATCATATCCGTATTTATGATCATGCTGTAATTCAGAGTCTAACTCTCTACATTAGTCGCTTTGGTTGTTCTTAGCTTTATAGAAACTGTGACTCTTTATGAACTCTGTAGTTATTACAGTCATTGAGGTATGTTTGGAGGTGAATTATTGAGTTAATCTGACTAGATATATCGAAAAGCTCCTGTGCTTCTGAGGAGCTGTATGTATATCCTAATAGTCACTCGATCCTTTTCACGCACCTTCACTCGACTCCTTATATTATGTGTCATGTTATGTTTATTTATTGTTTCTGATAATATATATATTTGCTAAATAAGAGTTGGGTTTATGCGTTAACAGGGTGTAATGGTAACCAAAGAACAAAGAATAAAGGATGTATTTATTATGTAAGTAGTTATCTAGTAATACTGTTATGTACATGTACAACAATATTTCTTATTTGAGACAATCAAAAACAGAGGAGATTCATTAAGATGAGGATAAGACGCAGAATTTGAATGAAGGGTGAAATTATAAAACCTTGGAATTATAATCCCATCTATAACAATCATGAAGGATGTCGGTCCCATTGGACTTGATTGCGTAACAGAAGAACAACACCCGGCATGAAAGAAGAAAACCAAAAATATGAGGTGAGCCCTGTCACTCGGTAGACAACATTATTTTTTCTTTCTCTATGATTAGAATTGAATTTAGTAATTCATTGTATTTTATATTGCAGTACTTGAGTCATATAATGGTATGATGTTATCGTGTGTTTTTAAAAAATCATTCTCTCAGAATATCAAATATGGTGTAATCTTTTCAATATGAATGCATGTAGATAGAGAAAGTAATCGATCTATATCGACATTCTCAGATATGACTTATTAAGAGATCTGATGCAGACATAATTGAATATTAATATATTCATGTACCACATTATCAAACTAGTATCACTATGACACAATAACGTCAATCCGCCGTGAAGACATTTCTACATCACAAATTAGTCAAACCCATCATGTTTCCATAACCATTCCTTCATCAACTTTATTCAAATTAACGCCAACTAACATCTTTAAATACGACACTTCTGAAAATATCAAATAACTTACAATACCAACGAGCACAACCTCTATAATAGCCACAACTGGATACTCATCAACTATATCTTAATCATTGTACATTAAACTCCTAGACACATATAATACGTCTGATCGTCCTGTAAGATCTTCGTAAGTACGCCCTTTGTCAAATGGTTTAGGCGCAGACGCTTCAACCATATCTCTGAACAATACATGCTCCCCAATTTGACCAATCCTCTATATATTTAATGAATACTTTCACACAAAATGATGCAGAGTTGATTTACTCACAGTTCACATTTCAGCAATAGCAACATGGACAGATTATTATATAGTTGTCATATCTGACCCTAGTACATATACCAGCGCCGGCTATATCCTTCGGCAATCCGCGGATATCCATAGCTATAGACTTTCTATCCCTGGGATATGGGGAATACGGACGAGAGTGCCGCGCTATATTATGTTCATCTCGCTCATAGTTCTAGCAGAAATAGTTGCAACTCATAATTACGTTTGACATTAGGGCACACATCTTTCGGTCGATTTGCGAGACTAACAACTAGAGCGCAGCACGAGTTGCAAGGCAAAAAGTGAGCGATTAGTCTGCAGGGTTGATCTAAAAAGAGGTTTCTCTTGTAAAATACTGCGACCTCGTCTTCTGCTGCAGTTGATTTAGTAGATGACAGATTCGGACTGGTCGCCGTTTTATTGCTATGGACATTTTAGAGTAGTTTATCTTTGCTCGTTGATGCAGTCATTCCTTATTTCTGGCTCTCGATTTGAGTATGCATCTAAGGTGGAATTCTGCGCGCAGTTAGGTGGATTTGTTAGTAAACGAGTGGATATGGACGTCTCGGGTATGTTCGTATAGCGTAACTGTCACTTGCGTTTGGGTAGTTGAGTGTTTCGGTAAATATCGATGACCACTCTTGTAGAGCTAATGACAGTTTGTATCGCTGCAGAATATTGTAAGCTGTTCGAGACATTGGAGTTTATCAAATGTGATTGTAATGTAGGTAGAAAATTATTTGTTCTTCCGTGGATATATTACAGTAAGTTTATTACAGAAAATCAGTTGCTTGGAAATTTGAGCGTTTCGATGCGTTGACGTGAGAGAGATTATTAGATGTAGACATTACTGAAATAGTGATTATCAAAATATATTATACACTATCACATACTAGAACTAGAATCATATCACAGATATGATCAATAATTGATATTTAAGCACTAATAATAACATATAAAATAAATGTCAGTAAAATATATTGTTTCTGCCCGCATAGTTGTATCCATGCTTAATAGTTGCCATGAATACATAAGAAATAATATAGAGAAAAATATAGAAAACAAAAATAGCTGTATCACGAGAAAGCACGGAGACACGAGGTTACGATACCAGTTAATTGCCTCTCGTGTACGTGCCACTGCTGTCAGAAAGCAAAACACTTGTGATGATCGAAAAAGAAATAACAGCGATGAGTGTCGGATATAAGGAATGCGGTCACCACTCCTCGAGAACAGATTTGGTACACATTAAATTAACAAAGTACCGTTTCCGAAAATATAGATTCAACGCACGAAGCCTATGTTGACTAGACAGTACGACATGTAACATTGGAATCCTATGAAGAAGAACGCAGCACTACACTCAATACTAAGGATACCATCAAACATAAAGTCAGTGTGTCATCGTTAACTACTAACGTATTGCTAAAGCACATGCTTTAGCCACAACACACGACACAAGACAGTTGTTTAGAAAGTGAAATGATTATACCTGTCTGCGTGTTCTTGTTCCGCGAAGTTGTCCGAGACATAAATATGTAATATACAGTGGGTGTGCCTGAAACAGTTCGTGATTCTTTCAAGACATTTGGACAATCTCCATAATCTCAATAAAAATACAGTACTACAATTGTAAAATAGTAAAAAATATTAAGAATGATATAACAATATAAATTAAAGTTTTCCAATGGAGAAAAACACTAAGTGATAGAATACTAGTCGAAATTCAGACAAACATTATTTTAGGTTGATCGCCAATTATCAGATGCGCCTACTTGGACTCTGGTCACGCATCGTAAGCAGCCTCACTGTGCATCTGATTTTATTTGTCACTCTGAGCATTCGATCTGGAGCATATAATGGTATTATTCTATGTCCACCGCATGACGAGCATATCACGGTAATTTTAAAAAAATCTGTTCATCGCGCGAGACTGTGAGCAGATCTGGTATGATATTGACCATGAGGAGCAGTTGAGCTCTTTATTACAGACAGATGCTGATAGAGCGGGCGAAAATGCGATATCAGAATAGATGTTTTACTGAGCTCCTCGCTCTTAGCTCAGACGGTAGCGATTGCATACTGTCGACTCACACCACGTAATTTTAAAAATATTGTAGTATAAAAGATAACGCTAATTCCGAGATGTTAGATTCAGTACACTAGTAAGGAGAACATTATAAAGCTATTTTACTTGGACTCGACACACGGCCTGATCAAAGGTTTTCTTCCGCAATCGAGCAATTGGTCTTATACGTGTGTTTCTGCGCGCATCAGTCCGACAATTCGCGTACCCCTGTTAAACCAAACTGTTCAAACCAAACTGTAGGATGCTAGCACCGGGCGAACGAATGGTCCAGCCCGGTCAACCGGCCCCGGTTGACGGTTCACCTACACAGCCCCGGCCACGAACCAGTTCAAACCCATCAGTTCAGCAGTTGCAAACCCCTCACAGTCCAAACCCGTCGCCTAATCTCATGAACCGTTGACCGGTTGGTCAACCGGCCGGGCAACCGATGTATCTCCTTCAACGGTCTGTAACAGTGATTTGGTAAAATGCAAAACTTGTTTTCAGTTTGATACTTTTTTTGCTGATTTCTCATTTTGATATTCATTTGATGCAACGGTTGGAGCATGGAAAAGTACATTTTTCATCAAAATTTAAATCTGATATCAATTTTGGTTCAGCGTTGGAGATGGTCTAACACCACCGATTGTGTTGTGGTATTTTTTTTTTTATTTACCTGTCAATCACAAGTTGCCTCTTTTTTTTTTTTATATATATATATATTTTTTATGATTGGTTTAGACAGCGGAATTCATCATTTTCATATAGTGTTTGAGAGATTAAAAAAACTGATAAACAAAATTAATTTCCAATACAACCTCTCTCCAAAAATTAAAATAAAACCAAATTCCACCCAGAAAAAAGAAAGGGCAAAAGAGAGAGAGAGAGAGAGAGAGAGAGAGAGATCTAATGCTATTTGAAGCTTATTCTGTACAAATAATTTGACATTCCTGGTGCACATCTTACAAACCAGATTTCTTTTCCACTAAAATCATTCACATATTCAGAATAACAGAGTGATTGCTTTGTTATTCATCAATATCTACTGAGCTTACTTCTGATCTGAAGAAAGCACCAAGTTTTCAACAGGGTTTTGTACTTCCTCCAGCCGTTAAAGTACCTTCCAATCACTTTCTTATAACTAGGCCTCTGCTTCACCCCATTCCAGTACTCAGCAACATTTGGACGGCTATTGATATACTCATCTTGCAAATTCAACAGCTCTAATCGCGCCAGCACTGGAATGAACATAACATCAGCCATAGTAAACTCTTCCCCAACTAAATACAATGTTTCGCTCAGTTTTGTCTCTGCTTCATCAAGAAGGCTTACCAGATGTTTCTTGCTTCGTCTCAGAACTTCTGGGTTTTTCAACTTGTCTTCTGTTTCGTATTCATCTCTCAGCTTACGATGGTAAGCACTTGCTAGATCAGGAAATTCAGACATCCGGGCAATTACCACTCTACGCATGAATTTAGAAATAAAAAGGCGATACTTCTCAGGGATGTGGGAGAGCGTGAAGAACTTTGGGTTCCACTCTTGTATCTTATTCATCCATTCAACAACTTCTCCACTGCTGACAGTGATTTTACCGCCGCCTGATGAGACAACAGCAATTCTTTCTATATACCTGTACAATTTGATATCACTTAAAAAATCTCCTTTCTATTGTAAAATTGTGTTTGGAAACAATTTCAAGGACTTGTGCCTTCTTACACTACAAGAACATAAGGAGTGAGTAAAAAAGAAAACATTCTGTTTAGAGATTTAAGACTTAATTCATATTTTGATAATTCACCCTATGTTTCCCAAAGCTTTTGCACTCTGTTTGGGAACCTATGAGAGAAAATAAAGGATTACACAAGTTAAAAGGAGAGAAAGAAAAGAAGAGAAGATTGTGTTTTCTATCCCTCTTGTTTCGATAATAAACTACACAAAAATAAAAATAAAAGAAATTATTTGATGTTATATTACCAAACTAACCTTTTATAGGTGCCAGTTTTTTAATTTCTATATGTAAAGGGACAGTTTGGGTATTATAAAAATAGCATTTGTTGGTTTCTTTTCTCTCCCACTCTCTCCACTTTTGGAGAGATTCAAAATAAGGGTTATAAGAGAAATGTGTCTCTCTATGTCACCCCATTTATCTCCTCTTTACTGATCCAAACAGGTGATATAAACAAAGAGAAATGCATTTCTTTTCTTTTCTTCCCAAATCACCAAATACAAACGGGCTGTTAAATATGATGCTGGAAATCATTCAAATGGCCATCATAATTCGTTGAAGTTTGAAATTGCTTCCAAGCACAAGACCAAATATTCTAGAAAAAAGTAATTGACAAGTATTGAGTAAAGGATAAGGCATACTGGATTATCACTGCTGTGTTGAATATAATGTGTTCGCCATTCTGGAAAACAGGAAGCTTCTCACTGGCAAGAACAAGTGACTCACTCATTCTTCCGGATAACCCACCCCTCCACTATCCACCCCCATAGCTGCAAGACATT